GTCCTTTATGCGCAACAAATATATCCATGCTTTTCGTGAGAAATCATCAATGAAGGTTAGAAAGTATCTACTTCCTCTAAGTGATTCTACCTCCATGGGACCACATACGTCAGAGTGTACCAACTCTAACTTATTGTCTCTTCATCTAGAGCTTTTCTGAAATGAGACACGATGTTGCTATGTTGCTTCCCAAATAAACAATGATCACAAGGGTTTATTTTACCTTTGGCTAATGGGATAAGGGACTTCTTAACCAACATATTCAACCCTTTCTCATTAACATGCGCCAGCCGCCTAAGCCACAAATTTGGTGAAGCATCATCTACAACTGTATTCAATTGACCCGCACATATTGTTGCGTGCGTCTTATACAGCGAGCAACATAATTTTCCTCTCACCACCACCAAAGACCATTTGGTGAGTTTCCAGTTACCGTCACCTGTATGGTGGTGATAGGCTTCCTTATCCAGTACACTGACAGACAATAGGTTCAACCGAAGATCAGGAATATGTCTCACATTTTTAAGTATTAATGTGCACCCGACACTTGTCTTTATGCAGACATCACCGATTACCGATTCCCACCATTTGCGAGACACCTATTTTCCCATTCTATAGTGCCAAAATCTCCTACTTTATAAGTGGACCAAGTATTCGCCTTTTTTGGAAACACCAGTGGTATAGGAAGCACCGGAGTCTACTATCCACTGGATCTACCTACATCTCCAACATGACAGCAATCTGCATCATGAGTGACTAAAGTCACCTCACCATCTTCTACTGAGACTGTAGCAGATGTATTTCTATCATTCTCGTGTCTTCGGTTTACATTATCCTGTTTGAGTAAACGGCAATTCCTTTTGAGATGACCTTCCTTGCCGCAATGATAACACTTTCTCATTTCTCTGGACTTGGATCTTCCACGTGACCTTTTATGCCTTGGACATCTACTCTTGCTCCAGCCCCTATTCTCTGTGACAAGGGCTTGTGAACTGGTACTGGCAACATCTCTTCTTCGTAGTTCTTCATTGAGTAGTCTATTCTTATATCATAAGACATTATTACCACACCAAATTTGGGCTGAAGATTACTCAATTGATACCACAGAGTATCCCAACTAATCCAGGTAGAGATCCCAACATAGGGCCCCAACAGTAGGCATGCTTGCATCTCATCATCTAAGGACATACCGCTAACTGCTAACTCAGTTACAAGTCCTTCAAAATCGTTTAGGTGTTGTGTAACCGATCGCCCCTCTGACAACTTTAAGTTCATGACTTTACAAATCATGAACACTTTACCTTGAGCGTTTGTAGCCTCGTACATATTCTCTAATTTCTTCTAGAGAACTTGGGAATCTTTTTCATTTCTCACTTGGTTGTACAGGCTAACATCTATCCATTGGCGTATTGTACCCAATGTCTGCTTTTTTAATTTTTTCCCACTGCCTTTCTTTCATTTCTTCTGGCTTTGCACTGTCACCTTCAATTGGATCGTACAAATCTTTGCAATTGAGGTATTCCTCCATTCTGGATTTCCTCATTGAATAATTCGAATCCGTCAATTTGATCATTGCCCCGTCGTTAGCCATGTCGAATTCTGAATTTGACAAAATTTTACTATTCACGAAATTCACTATTCACGTGAATAGTATCTTTTGTAGAAACTGACAGAAATTTACCAACCAAGACTCTGATACTAGTTGTTGTGATATAAACTGATCCCGAGTTGGGTCCGACGTGAAAAATGCTGGATGGTAGAAGTAAAATAAAAATTACCAACGATTAAAAGTTAAATAACGGACGATAAGATTTAAATGTACTATTACACATTTACCTCTCCAATAATTACGTATTGGATATTGATGACCGAATCCACCAGAAATAATAATCACAGTAAAAAAATTAAATAATTACCGTAAATGCCAGATGAAAAATGGGGACACAGAGATTTACGTTGTTCACCCCTTAACTATTATGGGCTACGTCCACGGGACAAAGCTCCGAATAATTCTTCTACTATTAAAAATAGTAGGTACAAAAGAGATTACAAAAATAGTGGTACTCTAAGTATTTCCAAAAAACATTCCAAAAAATTATAATCCTCACTATTTTTTCTCTTTTCCAATTTTAGGAACCCTTTCCTAAAATTTTCTCTACACTTAACTGTGTAGACTTCTTCGTTTTGTTTTGTACAATTTGTTGAGGGAAAACTTCTCCTATTTATAGGAGAAGGGGATGCGTTAATCAACGCGTCCATTGACTGCGCAATTAACGCAGCTTTCTTTGAACAAAGAAAAAAAACTTGTCTTTCCTTTTTTTTTTTTTTTTTTTTTTTTCTTTTTTCTTTTTTTTTTTTTTTTTCTTTCTTCAAACTTGTGTGTCACACATGTTGGAGGGACCCACAACACTTGTATGCACTGCATGCTAGCTTAGTTGGAGCCTTTTATTTCCTTATGTTTTGAAAACTTGTAAGGGCCAAAATGATACTGTAGTAATTATAGCATGATTGCAACTCCTGAGTGGCTGTTGCAGCATATGATGATGACACTTGCTGTGTTGGATTTGCTCGGCTGGGCAGTGAGGATCAGATGATAGTTGCTGGAACAATGTGGGAACTGCTGGCAGTTGATTTTGGAGCACCCTTGCATTGCCTTGTAATTGTAGGCAAGACCCACCCGTTAGAAGGGAAATGCCAGACGCTTACAAACTTGGAAGAGGGAGTCTATACCAAAAAGACGAATGATTTTCCCCTCACAAATTGATGGTTGAGGTACTGTTTATCTGGAGATCAAAGATTCTGATTATTGGACTTTATGTTTTTTGTCACTTGGATTTATTGTGATCTATTTGGAGAGATCGGACTCTTGATTTCATAGTTCCTCACGCAATCGAAAAGAAACATATTTTGATAGCATATATGCAACATCTTCTGTACACATTTCTTTTCATTTATATATATATATAATATATATATATTATATATATATTTTTAAAAAATGCTCAAAGTTTTTGTATCAGAGTAAAACTGATTCCTATATTCTGTCAAATAATTTTTTTTTCCTATATTCATATGTTGATCTTTGTAGAGGGCAATACTTAATGCTTAAAACCAACTGGAAACTGGGCCATAGCAATGGAGATGAGTTCTATATATTTTAAAATGCTCAAGTTTTTGTATCAGAGTAAAACTATTCATATCATCTGTCAAATTAATTTTTTTTCCATATATTCATATGTTGATCTTTGTAGAGGCAATACTTAAAAATGCTTAAAACCAACTGGAAACTGGGCCATAGCAATGGAGATGAGTTCTAAGAGTTGAATGATTTTGCTAAAAACAAGCAAATAGATACGCCAATTAGCAATGGAGCTGGTTGCATACGGTAGAAAAAAAACATATTAGTAAGCTTAAAACGTAAGAGTCAGATTATCTTTGGCTGTTAAGTTTTGAACATACTAATTGAAGTTTATTTTCCTTTCTTTAAAAAATTTAAAAATACAATATTTTTTTTGTAAATTTAAATTTATTATAATACTGTATCGATTTAATAATTTCAGCATTGTTATTATAACAAAATTATAAGCTGTCTGCAACTTGGCAAGATCACCAGGAACAACAGTAGGATTTAAATCCAGTTGGACACCAATCAACAAATTGGATGGTGTGCTTTGATGTTAGCCACAATGGCATTGACATCCTTAGGCACTACATCACCTCTATACATCGGGCAGCAAGCCATGTACTTGCCATGGAGAGGATCACAATTGAAGAAGGCTCAAAAGCACTGTTAGTGATCTCTGATCTCTGCAACGGAGAGTTGCTCATGGTAGGCCTTCTCAGCAGAAATAACAGGAGCATATGATGAAAGCATGAAATGAATTCTGGGGTATGGGACCAAGTTAGTCTGGAATTCAATCACGTCCAAATTTAAAGCACCTTATAGAGGCAGTCAGTGAAGAAATCACCTTGATAATCAAACTAGGAAAAAGTTAGCCAAAAACCCCTTGAATCACCTTCATTATTTCAAAAAAAGCTGAACTCGAGTTTTAATATAAAGCTTGAATTCGCATCAGAACTTTATAAACTAAACCTGAACGATTTAAAGTTTGGCTCGACTTAATTCATTTACGACACTGTTTATAATTGTTTGAATAAGTTTACCGAACAATTTTCACTTTTGGGCTCTGCCACTAGTATTTCAAATTTGGAAATATTAATATTTCCACTATTAGTTGTTATGGTCCAAACTGAGTTTAAGTTGAAAGATTTAATAAATTAAAAAATGAGGGTACCGTTAGATTTTTCAAGTTTCAATGACTCCACTAAAAATAAGGCATGAATCCTTTTTTTTGTGTGGATATGATAATGAATCTCTTAATGTTGATAGCAAAATCATAAACACTAATTGCAAGCATGAGGCACCATCCATGGTTAATCCATTAAAAGCAGAAGTGGAATTCATTGTCAACCCTATTAAGGTGCAATTACCTATGATTACAGAAAGCTAAAACGTCAATGAATTATAGTGATTATGAATCGATTTTATGCCAAATCTATATAATTGCAATTGAATTTGGGTCCATAATTAGCTATAATGTAAATCAGATAAATTCAAAATTTCCTATAATTGCTAAAAGTTAAAAAAGTTGTGAGCATGCTGTGAATGGCTAATGAATGCTAAATTTCATCAATTCTACTACGTTTCCTATATATGTGGTGAAAAAGACAATGTGGTGGTAAGCATCAAAAGTAATCTCTTTTTTTTTTTTTTTTCTTACAAAATAATAATATAAAATTTTTTTTCTCTTTTATACTCTTTCTTTGTATTACTGCAGACTAAAATCATTGGGTAAGAGTTAAACTAAATTATATAATATTAATTGCACCATTAACTGATCATCTTCCTTAAAATGATTGAAAGACTTAACTGATTGAATCTTTCAACTAGAAAACACAAGCCTTAATCTTCTTTTCTTAGATACAATTAAGAGCAAGAATGACTAATTAGTTGCTCAATTGAAGTTCATCAAATTCCCCTTTGCTTTCTCATGAACAACTAAATTTTTTACAAATCAATCGATAGATAATTGGGTTCAATTATACAATCATATAATTACAACAATCTAAAACATAGATAATTTGGTTCAATTATTCAGTTTAAGGCACCTAAAAATCACAAAAATGTTTAAGATTTCCTATGATTTACTTCTGGGTATTGTAACAAGCAATTAATCCCTTCTGCAGCAAGGTTTTAACCTACAACACTTGTTCATTTCCGTTGAGAAATGGATTATCTGGTCCTTAATGTGCTTCCAAGCTGAACCAGTTCCCACTCTAGATGACCATGCCTTGTATAATGCTTCTGCAACAAGATTTGAGAAACCATTATTGCTTATGTCCAATAACTGCAAATGGTTTGCCATGCTGATGGCTGTTGAGAGGTCTTGAATAAATTGGCATTCTGAAGATGAATCCTTTTGACATGAGCTTGTGCAGCTGTCTTCAACTTCAGGACCAGCTTCTACCCCAATCAGCTTATCTTCACTATCAGCAACTTCTAGCTGATTGCAGTCAGTGTTCACAGAACATGAAACCTGCTGGTTGCTGTCAACTTCTTTAGGTGCAATCATCTTTGAAGAAGATTCAGGTGTGTTGAAGTTTTGCTGCAGGATATCTGAACTTTGTTTGGCTGTTGAGTTGTATTCCAGCATGTAGTTTTTTTCTGGTTCAGCATTATCAGCCAGATATAGCTTTTCTAGATTATCATTCTCTGCAAAATTAAATACAAGAAATGAAAAACAGAACGAATGTTTCCAAGGGAAAAGATAAGGAAAATCTACTTGGATTTGCTTTTAAAAACCTGATAGTGCCTGTATCACTTGAAGAACTCCAGTGAGCCCAAGCTGACATTTGTTTAGGACCAAAACTTTCAGAGAACATTGTGGATTCATAAGCAAGGAGACTAATGCACTTGTACCCTGTATTCACGTCTAGTCAATTTCATTTGATTAAATAGAACTAACACCACCTTGCAGTTAGAATTTCACAAGAAGTAAATTAAGACACAAAGCAGAAATAATTGAATGCTATAATTGTTCAGAGAATCCAATTGTGAACAGTATGTATCTGTCTCTACATTTACTGTGCAGAACTTGAGTATATAGTGATTTTCTCCATAGCATGCCTTGTTCCTTATGCATAAACCTCAATAGGTTTGTCTAAGGCGGCAAAAACATTATATGAATTAACTGGAAACTTAATTATTCCGTATGCATGATTCACCACCTCAATCCTTCATATAGTAATAAACCATGAGGATTCATAAGGTCAAACAAGATCCTATGACCATTTGCAATGACTACCAATGATTGACAATAAGATATATTGTTAATGACAGAACTCCTGCATCAGCAAGTGAAGGATCAAAGGAGGCAGAAATTCAGTTGGTAATTTAAACTAATTTGACCTCAAATGAATTCTACAGAAAACAAATAGTGTAATACAAGAAATAATGGCACGCAACTCTTAAACTTCGCATAAATTTTCAACTTTATCAATTTCTTCTAATTTCCTCTGGTACTTTGTTATCAGTAGCAGTAGTATCCAGGAACCATATTAGTAGTGCCTATACTTAGCTTCATTTAATTGACATACTAGCATAGCTGAAAATTAGAACTCAAAAGGATTCCAAATTTTTCATGACCATTTATGACGGCCCAGGAATTTTCTTCATTTAAATGCAAGAGATAAGGCATTTGATAAGGGCCCTTTCCCCTTGCTATGCCTTGTGCCTCTAGCATGACTGTGCAAACTGAATAGGGCTTTTGACTATTTGACAAGAGCTCAAATGACACTTAGGAGTAACAGTTGTGCAGAGATAGGAAAAGAAATAGTAACAGCTTAGGAGATCCAAGTGGGCTGCAATCAACAGCTAAAATCATATTTGGCTTCCTGACCAGTAGCACAAGCCAATACAAGACCATCTCAGTATAAACACTAATGATGGCATGATTTATTCCCCTTTTGCTCTGAATTATAAAACATCATAAAAATCGATTCACTCAAAGTTATGCAACTTATGGGACTACTAACCATAATACAACATGCAAATTACAAATATGTGAAGTAACTCATAGGAGTTCAGTCATAAAAGAAAGACTTAATTTACCGGTGATTATAGACTATACTAATGGATGTGTAAAAGAAATTTGTTAACAATGCAAGAATTCATAGAGTCTGGAATAGTATTTTCTTAATTAGACAAAATGATGCACTCTTATTAGAAAATATCCTGGCTTTAGCACTAAAAGCCAGATGCTTCAGTCAAAAGTCTGACATGTCTTCAGCTTAAGAAAATCAAGGTCAACCAAAACCACCTTAAATGCAAATATGAAAAGGATCTCATGAGAATTGAGTCTATTTTACAACATATAAATGCATATGAACATATAAATAAACATACATAAATGCAGTTAGTCTTTTAAGAAGGCATTTTTATATTGATTCACAAGTCAATAAACTGCAAGAGTTCAGTACAGATTAAATATCCTACAAGTTATTTGCTTAAGTAACATGTATACTTTTAAGTAAGCGAAAAGAACACAAACACCAAATTTAGGATAAAAAAAAGTAAGTTATCATAACTTGTTGAAGAACAAACCTCTTGCAAAATAGGATTTCCTTCCAGGTTCAACTCTATAATTCCACAAATCAGAGTATCCTCAGTGTTAAGTTTATGAATATATGCGGTTCTTAGTCCACAATATGACAGGTCGAGTTTCACAGACTCTTGAGACCAACTGAATAATGATTCCATTAGTTGAACTGCCCCATCCTAAAATTAAGTTCAGCATCCAATCATAAATAGCAAAAAAATGTTTAAGTCGAACCCATAAGTTTGACAAAATGTGCAAGTCAAAAAACATAAGACGTTCACTCACAGTTCCTATGCCAGTGCTTCCGAGCATTAATCTTGACAAGCATGATTTTGTAGAAAGTTGACAAAGGCTATCAATGACGGGCCTCTTTATCTTCAATCCATTCAGATTCAGCTCAGCAAAGCTATAAAGGAAAAAAAAAAAACAGAATTCAGTGTTCAAATGCTGATATCACTCAGACTATAGAGATTACAAAAATATCAAATTATTAATTAATGCACAGAAGATTTTGTTGTGTTGTTGAAAACCTTTTCAGAGTAGCAAGTTTCTCTAATAGGTTAGTGATAGCATTTCCAGAGAGAGGGTTATTATGCCCTGCCCAAATTGGAATTTATTAGCGAACATAGACGGAACAATTTCAAGATTGGCATACAGCCACACTTTTATGTTTGCCAATTTTAAGTGTACCTATAGCCAGTTGCGCCAAGACCAAGCCAGAATTTAGTGCATCAGCAACCTTTTGGATTGTTCTTGATGTGATAGAACATCGCTCTATATTCAAGCTATAAAGTGCTACAAACAAAGAGCGATTATAAACACAAGAAATGGAGAGAGAGCAGAGAATCCAAATGCTAGCTAGTAAAAATGAAAAAATGTATCAACACAAATAAAGGCATGTCCCAAAGGCTTTGATAGAGAGGAGCAATTCATAATTATTTAATAAGAGTTTGGTAGCTCGCATTTAAATGACCAAGCAGTAAGGTTTTACCTCTGCAGTTTTCCAATATGGTTGAAAGATAAGATCCACATGCATCAGTGAGACGATTTCCAGAGACATTAAGTACTTCCAGTCGTGTAAAGAGCACTGGACATTCACAAATCTGAGGTTTGACATTAAATGAATGAAAGGGCCAGATGAAAGGGCATTACATAAATCTAGCATCTCTATCTACAAATGAGATTTTCAAATATAATTATGATGACAAATGACAGCATTATAACATCTTTTCTCTAGCATATATCCCTGATAGTAAAGCTTTCTACACCATGAATTGTCTTAATCACATAACTAATTCATTAACTCTTTAATGATCTCAGTGGTACAGTGACATACTTGATCTCCCACAGAATAACAGTTTGATCAAGTTAAGCTAAGATATTTGCTTCAACAACGCAAAAATTCCTTCTACTAGTGAAATTTGAGAAAAGAAAAAGGGGAATGGAGCAAAATTCAGGGTTTCGATCAAATTAGTATTTGAGAGCAAAGAGGCAGGTTAATCCTTAAATCAATAGCAGAACACGAAGCAGTAAAAGAAAATTGAAGCCTTTCACATGTTTAAATGAAGAAAGTTGCAGTGCAAGTGATAAACCTGAAACAAAGCAGTTGGACCAAACCGATTGCAATGCAAATCCAAAGCCAAGTCACCATATCTCTGTCCTGAAGTGAAAAATTGTTGAAGTTTTTCCATTGTTCCATTTCCTGGAAAACAACAACCAATAGATGGGTAACTTTGACCAAAATGAAAAAAATTCAGGACTCCTCATTCTTTAAAAAGTAGGGACACCACTTGTGTCTAAACTTTTTCAATTTGGTTAAATTCACTTGCTTTTTATTTTCTGGCAATCAAGTGTCTGAACATTTAATCTAATTAATTTTATTTGGCCGGTTTCCCAGCCAGATTGCTGATTTGCAAGTTCACCATACAAACGCTAAGTCATAATAAACAAAAAAATAAAATATAAGCAAAATCACTAAAGTAAGATTATAAATTCCACATCTTCTTCCCCAAGAGCATTGCCCAAGCAGAAAATCCTACCACCCTGTCTATTGTTAATAACATAGATATCTATTAATATTTCCATCTCCATTTCAAGAAGTTCGACATTACTTCCATTGATTTCATTAACTTTCAACAAAAACGTAGGACAGTGAATACATAGGTTAAGCTCTGCATATCTTGTTTGCTCTGCAAATCATGAAGATCTGCACTAGAAAATTTTAATCAATACGAAAATTATCGAAAGAAAAGTGAACATACTTTCACATTGTTCTCATTATCATGGGACGGCTAAGGCATCCCAATGTGGTTGATGTTGCAGTTTCAAGTAATCAAAAGCATATGCAAACCCTGCCTGACATTTTATAAAGTGATTCAACTATTGATCTCTAATTTGTAATTTCTAAAGAACTAAAGAACAGTTCCACAATGAACTATTAATAGAATCCATAAAGCTTGAAATAGATCTATATAAACAGGTCATCACAGCTGATCTTCCCACAAACTAACTTTTATGCCACTTTCAGCACTCAATATTCATATATAAAATATGGGATGGGGTTAAATTGAAATCTGAAACTTTCAGAAAATATAATCAACAGATTTCAAGACTGAGCCTGATATTCGGTTGGTCCTTGTTTCTGGCATTGGTTGCAAATTCTTTAGTGTCAAGGAAATTCCCATTGCTCCATAATAACATGATAAAACAAGACAGGGACTGGTCTTCTTGGACATCTTCTAGAAGATGGCAGAGAGCCATCATTCTTGCCGGCTTTGGAGGATGAACTTGAGTTGTTGGAGTGGGGGTGCTAGGGTTTGCAGCAAGGGCAATGTGATGAGGAAGATGATATGACATTTACAATCTTATCTTACATATATTATTTGTTCCAGCTAATAATACACAGGTAGATGTGTAGTGATCTTGTACACATCAGTGCTCTAGAAAGTAAAAGATCCACCCAAATACACATAATTAAAACAGATGTATCCATTCAGATTGTTGAAAGAGTTAAAAAACTAATGGCATCATTATCCACTGGAAAAACAAGCTGGAAAAAAACCAGCTAGTTTTGTGAGAAGCGTGTAAATAGAAGGCCTAATGACAAAAAAATTCAACTAAAACTTCTACCAATTCTATCAATTGTTCCAATTTCTAAACTTAGTTACACATGTATCCAACTCTTCAAAATTTGATCAAAATTGGAAAAAAATACTTTATTAATTATTAGATTAAACAATATATATAAAAATCAACTAAACTTCTACCAATTTATTCAATTCGTTCCAATCTTCTAACTTAGTTACACATGTATCCAACTCTTCCAAGAATTGATCAAAATGGGAAAAAAATACTTTATTTATTATTAGATTAAACAATATATATATATATATATATACTATATAATATATGTTTCTTTTTTTTCCTACTCCACCCCCCCTCCTTCCCCTTCTGTATATGTTCTCTTTTTTCCTACTCCACCCCCCTCCTTCCCTTCTGTTCCCACTCTCCCTTCACCAATTCTCCCTCATCTGTGATTCACTGTGCTAAACACTTAACCATCCACTGCAATTCCCTCTGAAGTAAAAAAATATCCTCTTAAGGAACTTTTCCCCATAGGTTAAAAGGAAAACGCAAGTAAAGTGGTTTTGTCAAACCAAGCTTGATCACTCCCAACAAAAAGTCCTAATCTTCCAACCTTTCATATCTAATATCTTTAATCAAAATCCATCTATTTTTGTAAGAATTTTAATGTCGGGGAATTGAAATTTTTCCCTTTTAATTCTATTTGCAAAACTAGCAATTTTCTTCTTTGTTCCTTCATACTTGTTCATTTGTGAAGTTGGATATTTGATCAAGTGCCTACCCCAACATGTCATGGCACTATACAAGACAAAAACCAGATAGTGAGAACAAACAGAGAAGGCAAGCTTCTTGTTGTTGGGACTTGCTCCGCTTGCGTGGTCCTTCGCAGGTGAAGGCCGAGCGGAGGGTGGCAGGATAGTGAACTGAGAGAGTGAAAGGATTGGGAGGGAGTAGGAAAGCAAAAGAAATTGTAAAAGTTATTTTTTACTGCACTAACTAATAAAATATTAAAAAAATTTCTAACTGAGTTGGATATCATAGCAACTGAAATTGGAAATTGGAACAAATTTGATAAAATTGCAAAAACAGGAAAAGGTCATTATTATTTTTTATCATTAGGATTAGACAAAATAGTAAGCATGCAATGGATTTTGTACTTCAGAGGAAAAAAAATTAGAGAGTTAGGGCCAACCGCCATTACCTAATAAATTATGAGAAAGATCTAGCATGGCAACTGCCTTGTGTGTATGCAAGGCATTCAACAATGGAGTTATTGATACATCTTGCAATTCACATTCTGACACAATAATCTCATCCTCAACCTGTGAAAACAAATCATAATAATATAAAAAGAAAACATGTAAATCAGATAAACAAAAAGAAAACTGATATGTTCACTCATCTGCACATTCTACCTCTGAAATGTATAGTTTTTTAAGCAATTTCATATTGGGTGCCTCAGATAAATGGTTGCAAATGTCAATGTACAGTTGCATCAAACGCTTTTGAACCCATCCTGTTAAAAGAAGAAAAAGAATTAACTAATAGAGAAATTTTACATTAAGCAAAAATAGAAAGAAAAAAACCATTATCATGCACAAAATTAGTTAGGTGAGCCTACACTATGATTGCTCAACTATATGATGTAGTCTAAATTATATCTTTGAGTCTATTCAGTAAGTTAGCAGATGACAAATTCACAATTCTAGTTTATTTCCACAGAATTGTTCTATGCGATTCTCTTCATAATTGATGCAGAGGAAAGAGCTTGTGATAGGGGAAACCAGAAACAGTGTCATCAACTTCATTATCATTCAGCCTTACATACACTTCTAAAGTGGTTTTTTTCAACAATAAACTCTTGAGTTCACCAGATTTTACTTAGTTATAGTCAGCTTCAGATTAGCAGAGCAGTCTATATTGATGATGACTCTCTTTTTTCCAACCCATCACAGGAAGCTGTCATCGAGCAACCAATTCAAGTAACACATCTCAGATACAATCTCAAATCTTTTCTTATTTTTGAATTATTCTTCATCAGGTGGATGACAGTCCAACTGACATAAAAATATAATTGAATTGGGAAGAAGCACCACATGAAAATTACTTTCTGCAAATAATATATAAGACTGTAGGACAGAGAGAAAACAAAGATGAAGATATTATAGTTTCCAAGAATAAAAGGATGAAAATTGTATTACTTACCATTAACAGAAACTTCAATCAGAAGATTTCTTAAATCTTCTTTAAGTGTTCTGATTGCTTCCAAGGATTCTAGAACCTTTCCGGCACATTTCATATGATGAATGATGGGCAAAAGACCTAATGAGACAAAATCAGCAATTTGCAAAAATGATGCAATAGGGACAAAAAGTAGGGGGTTTAAAATGTGTAAAAATGATAATGCAGCATTCAGAACAATAATATTTGAAATCTTGCCATGTAACTTCCACTGTGCAGGAGACAAGATTGCATTATTGGACAAAGCAACACCTCAGTTATACTAGAATATACATGAATGCATTTAAGGTGGTCTATGCTTATTATGCACAACTGTAGCCAAACTTCACCATGCATATGAGATAGCAAGCATTTAAGATTGTCTATCCTTAATCTCACCTCAAACTCAAAACATCAGCCATTACAAAAATTTCTTTAATAACTCACTCTCGCGGTACTCATGCCATTCATCCTTTATCATCTACAATGTGTATTTTGAACACTCAAAAAAGATAAAAAAAGAAAAAAAAAAAAAAAAAAGATTCATCCTATATCATCTACCAATGTGTATTTTGAACACTCAAAAAAAAGATACAAAAAGAAAAAAAAAAAAAAAAAAAAAGGACAACAAAAAAAAAAAAAAAAAAAAAAAAAAAAAAAAAAAGGACAACAAGATCATGTCCTAATTGATATTGACTTTCAGAAGGTGTGCAGTCAAGATGTTAGAAGTAAAGTTTAAGGCCATTCATGCTGCAGCTACAGTAAAGACGCCATCTTGCAAATACATTTTTGTGAATATTTCAGTCTAGTAAGAGGAGCAGTGTTGAAAGATGAATCACATATTGCATAATAATGAAATAACTCAAGGACTTATAATGAAATGAAAAATGGACTTAGCACAAGCCAATTGGTTTTATGCAAGATAAGCTCTAACAATCATTCACTTATAAGCCCATGTTGTCTAGGCCCATGGACTTTAACATCATATTAGAGCCTCATGCCCAAATGGACTGAACATTGAGATATCCAAACCTAGTTGCACTTGAATGGGTGTTTTGGGAGATGAATCCCACATTAAGTAATAATGAAATAACTCAAAGACTTGTAACGGGAAAGATGGTGGAGCTAGCACAGGCAAATTGGTTTTATGCAAGATGGATTCCAACACTTGGTCACTTATAAGCCCGTGTCATATGATAATCATGTATGACCAGAATACAACTAATTGGAAATCAAAAGCTCATAAAATTCAAAATTATGCTTACCCTTTGACCTCTTCTCCTTAGGGAGCTGCAAATAGTATAGACAAGCTAGCTCAACCTTCATAGACTCAATATTCAATCCATCAACAGCCAAAAACGAATCTCCATCAACCTTTATCAGGACATCATCAATTCTGAACATGATGCATTCCTGGGCAATACATGAGATCAAAGTTTAGGAAAATATTATAATGAAAATATGATCAGAATAATGATAGGATACGTACAACAATGTTTGGCAATAATGCTAATGCCTCTAAGTCCTAAGGGACCATCTAGTTAGATGGTAGCAGACTTTCGGTTCAAAACAAAAAGGTTTTAGGTTTGAGTTCGGAGAACAGACTTAATGAAATCGGGTAATGGCCTATACATCTTGAAAGGGTGTTCTAAAAAATTGGTTACTATTAAACAACGGCTACTACAAAATTAGAACTTAAAATTTTCTGCCATTATTTTGTAAGAGTTAGCAGTAATAGCCCCTTTGAATTTATGTTAAATAAAAATTAATGGCTATTATCTAGACACGATGTCAGGGGTGTCAACAGAGCCAAGCAGAGCTCAAACCTGTCAAGTTCAAAGCTCAGCTTGATAGAATTTAACTTAGTTCGCACTCGGCTCGAAACTCGACAAGCTTAAAAATTTTAGTCTCGAACTCGGCTCGAATAAGCCTAAAATAAACATTATAAATATATATATATAAAAGCTCGATAAGCTTTTGAGCTGAATATCATTAGGATGGAGCTCGGTTCATTTAGCAAAGAAGCCGGATTCAACCCGAACTTTTTAGAACTTTTTTTTTTAGTGAAATTTTTTGAACTTTTTTTTAGCTGAGCTCGAACGGCTCACGAACCGACTCGTCTCATTTACACTCCTCCACGATGTACGGTACTAAATTCTCTTAATACTACATGTTCACTACCAAACTATTTGTATCTTTTTTTTTTTTTTTTTTTTTTTTTTTTTTTTTTTTTTGTTGGAAAACCTAATAATCTTTTTTTTTTTTTTTTTTTTTGGAAAACCTAATAATCTTATAAAAAAATTAAAAACATTTAAATCCCCCCTTCATTCAATATACTACTTCGAAAGTTAACTAGTAATCATCTAAACATCTAATCATATATCTACTAGTAACTATATAGCTGGGTTTAGCAATATATATGCAAAATACTACTTCAAATCCCTAAAACACTCAAGACCGATTCCCACACTGTCTGGTTCTGGTTCTGGTTCAGGTTCAGAACCAACCATTGACCAAGTCTATCTGAGGAGTAAGCATGACCACAGTTCTATTTCAAACCAAAATCAAATCAAACCGGTCAAAACCGGTACTAAACCGTGATCCACAGTTCCTAGTTTCAAACCTTAACCGAAATTGTGTATTTAAGGTTCGGTTCCAATTATTCATTTTTTGAAACCAAAATCAGCTGTTTTGGTTTAAAACTGACGATTCCGATTTGAAACCTTGAAAAACATGTTCATAAAGAAACTCCCAGTTTTTTTTTTGTTTTATTATAATCTTTTAAAATAAATTTTAAGCATTTTTTTAACTAGTTTATTTTTTTCAAGAGTAATATTAATATAATATTATTATTATTACTTCAATCTAGAAATCTAAAGAACAATTTTAAAAATTTTGAAATAAATTATCTAATTTTGGTACCAAACCGGAACCGGCATTCCAAAACCATCTTAAAAACCGCTTAATAATGATTCAGGTTCGGTTTCACCTTTTTTATAATTGGAACTGACGGTTTTAAAGCTGAAACTGGTGGTTCTAGAACCGTGGTCATGCCTACTAGGGGGAAATCAACTACAGTTTAGTGTCATGATTATGTATATGTATAAGTAATGGAAAATGTCAATGAAAAGTTAAATTATTCAACTGACACATATTCAACAGCTTTAAGAGCCAACAACAAGATTAGTATAACTAGGGCAAAACTAAGCATAGAACAATATATTCAAGTAATAAATGTAAGACTTACACAGTTGTCATTAGCAGAGTTATGCAACTTGAGAGGGGTATCATTATGTTTATGCATTAGGCTTCCAGAGATCTCAATATCACAATTAGAACCACTAGTAGCAAAATCAGATGCAAAAGCCACTTCTTCAGCACTCAAAGATCTGAACACTTTTCCAGTATGAGTTGGAATTTTAGGACTCAGAGATTTATCTGAACAATTGTTTTTTTCAATATTAACAGGACTGCAGGAACTGGCAGCACATTCAGATGCAACCCTTGATAAATCCTACCAAACCAAAAGTGTGAAGCAATTAGACAGTTATGCTTCATATTTAGAATGGGAAGAAGTTACTTTCAGCACTTGATCCGGGTACTTGCATACCTGAAATTTGTGCCCTGATGTAGCCATATTGTTTCTCTTCTTAACTGCAATCAGATGATACATAGATTAGTATAATGAATTATCTCAATTATGTTAATAATGAAAACAAAACTCACATTCATCAGCAACATCCTTTACTAGGCATCTATTCGAACTTCCAGTGTGGCAGTCCTCATCATACATTTCATCTTCATCATCTGAAAGGACTACCATTCGAACGCGTTTACGACCAACAACTGTCTGCTGATTACTAGTTCTTTTAGACATACATTTTTTAGAAGCTGCAGCAGGTGTATAAGAAGTATCGGAGTTTTCTCCATGAGCTGGTTTTTTTCTAGATAAACTTTTACTCAAATGAAAAAATGAAGTTAAAGGGACATCATCATCATCACCCTTCAGCTGTAACTCACTGTCTAAGAATTTTGATTTTGTAGAACTGGATTTGCTAATTTGGAGTGGGTCAGATGCATTAGATAAAATATCTGACATATGATTATCCCCATCTGTATCAGTTTCAGAGCAGCAATCTCTTGCAAAATTCTGCATTTCAAGCTCCCTTTGTTTCTCCAACTTTACAATTTCATGATTGAGCCTCCTAAACAAGATAACAGTTTTTAGCAAAAGCAATTGTTTATAGCAAGAATAGTCTGTAAAACAAGAGTATTTCTGTTGCATTTGGAGAAAACCAACTTTGAACCATCAACATTAGTATTTGTAAGGTAAGTTTTTCAGTTCTCATCTTCCATGATAAAATTCCCAAGTCCCTCAAGCTAACTGCTGGCTGTTAGCCTAAATGGATGAAGAGTATTGCAAATGTAAATTACCTGGCCTCTTCAGCATTATCAAATCTTATCATGTGGCTGTAGTGCATATTCTCTAGTGCTGAAAGTTGAATAGAGGGAAATTTAGCTTCAACTGCAATCCTGCATAATAAATCAACATGTGCGGGAATAAATATCACTCTTCAAATCAAGTACATTAGGAAATTGTACTTCAAATCCAATGAGAAATATTTTTAACAGTAATTGAATGACTTCATATTGCTCTTTTGAGGAAAATATAGTCAGAAATTATATTCTTCATCCATTTTTTTCTTGGTCGCAATGTTTGTAATAACATGACATTTGACATCACATTTGGATTAATCTTCAGAAAACAAATTTTTCACACAAGTAATGATCACGCTGTTGTGAATTATACAATAACCAAAGTTGTAATGGAAGAACAGAAAAAAATGATGCAGTAAATTGTTGCTACATGCCTAAAAGAATAATATGTTATGCCATGTTGAGGCATCTTATCTTGGAATATGCTAGTCAAGGTGATCAAAGTCCATGGACATGCAACTTTTGCATGTGAGTCATGCAGACCCATTCATTCATAATCATGAAAAATCAGACAAAATTTAGCTTTTGAAAAGGGGAAAAAACCCGCAAAGAAGGAAAAAGCAGAAGTTCATTTCAAATAAATGGACATGTCAAACATGCATTCAGTTTCACAAAGCAAGTATAAGTATTTTTTTTATCATTTGTATATCACAACTACTAACTGATAACTGATAAGCATAAGCTTGTAGTTTTTAGTTGTAACACCACCACCTTAATGTTTAAAAACAGCAGTGCCCATATATTAGGCATGGCCTTTTAACCTATGTTGGGCTGCAACTAGAAATTTACACAATCAAAAAAATATATTCTATAATTTCAGATATTTCTAAAAGCATTTATGCAAATGGTCCTGCCTAGTGCAAATGTGGCTTCTTCTCTAGGCTATTCACTGAGCCATTATTCTAATAAGGTCTCAAGTACCATTCAGATGATAGGTTAATCTCTAACACACATCCCTTGTATGAAAGCCCATTGGACTTTGATAAAAACAGGCCACCTCTAACTTATACTAAAATTTAATCAAATAATTGAATATGAGGATGCCCAAGATTTGGACTTTAATATATATTAAACAGCTACTAAAGCTAAAAACTCAAGCTACATGAGGACCCAAATATAGGTTTTTTATCTCCAAGGAAGGGAACATTCACTAAGAGAACAAGATGCAGAGGTAACTACCTATAACTCTCTTCAAATGCATTTAGTGCTCCCAGCCAATCACCAATAGAGTCCAAAATATTGCCAATGCTAATTTTAGCTAATGCTTGACCCTGAAATCAACAACAATCAAGAGTTAAGACTTTTGGCCTTCAATTTGTTCACCAGATCTAACAACATCTATGGATCTGAAGCTCCTCAAACTAGAGGTATGTTCGCCATGGTTCTTAGTTAATTAAAAAGGATAATAAAATTTTGAAAAAAAAAATCACAAATTTAGTTGACGCTTTGCTGTCAGGAAAAGAAAACTTTGAAAATGAGTAGACCTGGTAACCAACATACTCACCTCCGAGTTACCAATTGACGTATATGTCTCCCAGCTCTTTATGACACATTCAATGGCTTTATCAAAGTCTCTGAGCTTCTGGTATGACTCACCAAGAACCAGAAATGAATCACCAATTTTCTCTTTGTCACAAAGTTTTGTTGCTATCTTCTTCTTCAATTCCGCATATCTGCAGTGCTGTGAATAATAATATCACAAAAAATGTGAAGTCATAAATTGGGAAGCAATTTTCTTTAACTAATCAGACAACCAGCAAAAAAACACAGATACCAGCAGAACTCAACAATTACATGCTACATATGGTCAATGTGGTTCAAAATTAACCATCAACATTTGTAACTAAACAATGAAAACAGAAAGCTATTCGCATAAATACATCAAACTGTGTAAACCAGAATCCAAACTAATTTGAAGATAACTAAATGTCCTTTATTTTTAGTTTGTTTGCAAAATAGTCATGACATTAGTTTGATATTATTTCTACAACAGCAGTCTAATCAACATTATATCAAAAGAATTCCAGATTAACTAGTCTCCAATAGCAATATATTTATAATTGTAATTATGTTTAATAGCAACAAATATAAAGTTCACCACTGCTGCATAACCTACCTTAAACAAATGAGTTAGAATGTAATTAGAAATATAATGCTTTGTTGGTAAGCGTAATGGAATATGAAAAAACTATTAAAAACAAAAGATGGAGGATAAAGCACTTAGGTTCCACTGCATTTCATTAACCTTTACTAAATAAATTCTAAGTACATTCAGAAGCTTTACTGAAATGAGACACTACAGAGCTATTTGATCTGATCAAAGCAAGTATAAAGAGAAAAACACACATGATAAAGAAAATTACCTCATTCCATGCACCAATCATGCTAGACTTCTCAATGAGACAATCAAGTGATGCACACTGTTGCAGCAAAAGCTTCCGTTCATGTGGTGTACCTATTGCATTTTCCATATTCCTCGTTAATTTCTTAAGATTCTGTTCTTCTTTCTTCAATTCATCCATTATACTGAGAGCTGCTTTTACAGTTTCAATATTTCCTTTACTTTGCTTGGCTAGAGCATCTTCATCTTCCATGGATTTTGCTAACTCAAGTGCCTTACGATAGCAACAAAGTGCCTTCTCATACTTTTGAATCCTATAATGCAGTTCACCAAGATTGATGTACCCTTTTGCTTCTCCTTGGCAATGGCCAATTCTATTACAAATTATGATATCCTTCTCAATGTGCTCCTTAGCTTTATCCCACTCCCTCAGCTCCAGGTAAACATTTCCAAGATTGTGATGGAGCCTGCTCCGGCCATCATCATTTTCACTGACCTCTTCTTCATCACAGATATTTAGTCCTTTAGTGAGGATTTTCTCAGCTTGTACCAAATTATCAAGGTCTAATTCAATCATTCCAATATTATTATGTGCATCAATGTACTCTTTAAGGAAAGAGCATTTATCAGCTGGTGGATTTTCCTTTAGAGTTTGAGCAAGCTTCATGGCTAACTTGAAATATTTTTTTGCATTTCTAAGTGCACAGTGGTTATCGTTAGATTGTAAAAACAGCTCATGGTAAGTACGACCCAGTTGTGTACTAGCTCTTTGCTGCTCAATGATGTCATTAGCATCCTTCGCAAGATCCAAATGCTGTTTCTGCAATAATATATCATACATTGAAAAACACAGCTCTATGAAATGCAACAATAATATCAACATCTCGTCAAAGCAATAGTTTTTCATAGAAAAGTTTAGCCATATTTAACCATTTATTTTATTCTTCCACTGTCACATAAAAACATCCATTTTCTTCCATTTTCCTTACCCACCAAGGCCTCATTTGTTACCCATTTGGAGCAGCTATTCTAAACTGCATTTGGCCATTTCTTAAAAAGATAAATAAAATTAAAACACTGCAGATGGACCAATTTCCAAAATATGAGTTTTGGGAAGTTCCATTTCTTCAGATTCCATGCGCTCACTGCAGCAAACAGGCTCCAAATTGGCAGGGGAAAATTTTTTTCCTTAATTTTATCTTAGTTCAAGACAAAAGGAAAGGATATCAAAAATAAAAAATAAAAATAAAAAAAGGAAAATAAAAGGCATTTACATTTTTCAAGAAAAATAAAAAAGAACATGTTTGTTTCAATGAAGGCACAAATTCATATATTTACCATATACTTTCTTACTGTTGCATTGGTTTATTGCAAAATATAAAATCTGTGATTAGGAAGCAAAAATCAAAAAGTTAAATCACAATATTAGAACTGCCATGCTCATTTCCTCCTATCTAGTCAAATGTAATTATACCCCAACTCAAAAGGTGTCAAAGAAACTAAACAGTCCGCAACTGAATTCTCTTACTTTCCTCCCTTTTCTATCCCTAAAATGCACCTATGTTTTCACTTTCCCACTCAGTTTACTGCTTTTCATTCCACTTCATCGGAAACCAACCTATTCTATTGAATTACCTTCTTAAAATTCAATATCTCAACAATTCCAAAATATGAATGAATCAACAAATAAGGAATATAGATAGAAAGTCCACACCGTAAGTATGCCTGCTTCACCATTCTTTTCACTCATTTAAAAAATTCTAATCTTTTTGCACCCAAATATTGAAAAATATAAATCTACTTCCAAGAAACCTTTAGGCTCACTTCGCTTATTAACATTTCCATCAGTCAATCAAATTTCCAATTTTTAAAAATAACACAAAAAAACAAAATAAAAATGAAACCCTTAAATTATCGGTCTCACCTGAAAATTCAAAGCTTGCTCTAAGTTATGAAGGCGAAGATAGACCTCCCCAAGAGACTGGCAAGTGGGCAACAAATGCTTCTCGGGCAAGTACTTACTAGAGATATCATAATCAATCCGCAACCACTTGATTGCCTGCACGTACTCTCCTCTGTTCTTTAGTATGTCCCCTATCACGTTAGCCCACCGAGCTTCCTCCTGCCGGTTCCCAACTTCCTTCGCACTCCTGTATGCTCGCTTCGCCGCACTTAATTGTCCGTCTTCTTTACCCATAGCTAATGATTTGGAGATCTAGGGCTTCTGGTTGTTTCTTTTCTTGATGTTGATCGAGAAGAGTTCAAATAAAATATGATACTTTGAAAATTTTGTGCCAAAGCCAACACTTCCCGCCAAAAATTGTGTTGGTCTCCAAGTGTTTGGTTTTCAGCCAAAAACTTGAGTCGGGATTTTTATTTTTTTTTTCCTCAAGCAATTCATTGGATTTTTAATTATTGGATTTGGACCAAATGATTTTTGTTTAAATTACAATTTTATTTTTTTCTTTTTATATACTACTATTTTTTTCCTTTTTAAAAAATTTCTAATCAAATTAAATTAATGCATTAAATTTATTGTAACAAATTAAAAGAAATTATGCACGAAGAATATTTTTAAAAAAACAAAATAATAAGATAAAAAGAGACTTACTGATTTCAGAATTTATGTTGTGCCTGAAAAATATTTAGTATTTATAAATCATTTTTATAAAAAAATATTAAGTATTTATCAATTCTTTATTTTGAATTTTACTTAAAAATATATTTTAAAAATATTATATATAAAAATCCAATTAAATCGTATCAGATTTTGTTGAACCCTCCAGTTGAGTGAATCGCTATCTTCACTTGTTCATTAACCGGTCTAATTCTCAAAATATTATTCATCATACGATTATTTGAGGTTAACAATAAATTTATTACAATATACAATTATAATTAGCTCAATATGTAGGAAAATTAAACTCATACCTAATATTATATAGTTACTTTTAGTAAATTGATTATTATACTATTACTATCTAATCATATTATAATAAGAAATTACAGGATTAACCATATATTGTTCCCCTTAATAGTAATGTACCATATAACAACAACCTAAAAAGCTGGTATAATTATGGTAGACTAGCACTTGACATTTTGTGAGTCACATAAATGATCTCTCTAGAGTCAGTTTTGAATCATAAAACATTATTAATTGTTAGTCTTCAATGTCTTGATAACATTAATAGGTCTTTGAATTATTATATACAAATAATTAATTATACATATATTATAATAATTAATAGGAGTTATCCATGATATCCATGCCTTGTAAAATTTAGAATTCATGAACTTTTTTGTGAAAAATAAATAAATTTCTATGAAAAATGAAAAATTATTACTCCCTTGGCCCCATTCTTATTCTATAAAGACAAGCTTAATTTTATTTTCAAACATATTAAGAAAAATTATAGAGTGGACAATTAATTTTATGTATACTTTTTCTAATATATTTCTATACCATGTTTAGTTGAGAGTAAGGAGTGGAATATGGAATGTAGTAAGAATAGAATGAAATGAAATAGAAAATTTAATTTCTATTCCGCTGTTTAGTATGCTCTATGAAATAAGAATTCAGATTACATTTATGTGTCTACTCTATAGAAATAACAGAAGGAACAAAATCAAGAATTAGTAAAACGAACAAATGAAGGCTTATTTTTTATGATAAATTATATGATTATCTTTAATATTTGCAAATAATAGGAACGAAAAATATTTCTTAATCTATGATTTTTATTTCTAATGATTGAAAAAAAAAATGTTTAGAGCCATACAAATGCAAGGAATAACCTGACTACGAATATCACATATCGTATCTTTTGAATAAATCTAAATAATATTATAATAATATAATCAAAAATAGTTTTCGACAAATAACATGACAATATAAATCAAGAAGAATGAAGAAAGAGAATAAATTGGAGTTGAAATTTTTATTAAATGATCTTGCCTTGGTATAGTGCAAGTGCAATTTGGTTACTATTGATTTGAGATAAAGGGCAATTTGGTCAAAATACCCCTAATTTTATTATAATTATGAGAATTAATTGTTTTCTTAGTCCCGTATAAAAACTTTAAATAATTTATATTTTAGATTAATGAATTTATTAAAATAACCTGTATTCATATTGGATGTAATTTTTCAATAAAGAATTGAATGAAAAATTATTGATGATAAGACATTAAATTAAGGTACACTAAAGAATTAAAAAATATGTCAATTAGGTGTGGTTTGATTGGTCATTTATGTGAGGAGTAATCAGTCTCAAGTTTGAGTCATTTCATCAATTTCGTGAGTCGAGGAGGGTTACATCTGTTGTGTAGTCTGCAGTGTTATTTCAGTCCATCGGATCTCCCAATAAATAAAAAAAGAATTAAAAAATTAATTGTACTATTAAAATGGGAAAATATTTATTATTATTGGAAATGGGAATAGTCAACTTGTATACAAATACACAAAACACTAGGACTTCATATTGGGTTATTTTCAATACATCTTGGATCGCGATTGCAAGAAGTTGAAGTAAACCTTCCCCAAATATAAGCATGCCTAGTTTTTCCTAATAGCTTGGTTGGGATAATAGTAAAGAATTAGCTTAACTGAAAATATTATATATCATTTAAATTATTAGTAATATTATTAAAAAAATAACAAATATTATTTAAACAATAAATTTTGCCTATAATTAAATAAGAGTATTAGAAAATAAAAAGATTAATTGTATTTCAAAAAAAAAAAAAGTGGCCATAATTTAAGACAAATGAAAGAGCAAAGAAATCTTATATTTGTGGGACTTTATAAAAATTCAGGTTAAATAAATAAAGAATATGAAAGTGCAAAATATTATCCTCGCTTAAAAGAAAAATAAGATTATAATTTAGAACAAGTAAAAAACGGTAAGTGAATTTATTTTTACCGGATAAATGAGTATCTTTTTGGTTGTAACGTAATATATATTAAATACTATAAAATATAATTTTTTTTAAAGATATATATTAAAATTTCATTTAAAAAATTTGAAATCAATACAAATATTATAGAGAAGACATGACTCCTTTCCAGAAGATTAGACATAAAATAAAAACTATTATAACTAAAATAATTAATGTTCGCTGATTTAACAAGAAATCCTAATCAAAACTAGAAGATGGACTTGAAAAAAACAGATAAATCTTTAAAAGTGGTTGGTTTAATAAACTTCATTAATTTTCTATACATGGCTTAATTATCCTTGAATTAGTTGTTTATGACGAATATAGAGGATTTGAACCACTAAATCCAACGGAAGTACAAAACGCACTGCATACTCTAAAAGATAGAGATTATCGTGTAGTTGAAAAATTCTCCACAAATTGCACACTTGTCAAAATAAAACCAAACAAATGTAAAAAACAAGACAAATACTCCATTTTAAATGAAGAGAATCATAAACTCCACACAAGATGGAAATAAAACACAAAATAATAATATAAACATAAATAACATATATCTATGCCAAAATAAGCATAAATTTATAATTTATTAACCAAAAAAACATAAAAACTTACAACAAAACTAAACATACGAGGAAAGAGTGTCACAAGAGATAAGAATCTGTCCCTTCTCATATCTGCATGCTTGGTTTGTAAATATTATAGAAGAGAATAAATTCAAATTTATAATTTTAAAAAGAAATTAGCTAAGACTAGAACTCCACAAGTCCAATTTAAAATATCCTAACAAGAAATTTATAATTAATTAATTAATTATTTATTTTTAAATTACCACCACTATTAATATCCAACAAACCATAAATATCCAGGACAAAAAAATACTGGAATATATAGAGACAAACGTGAAACTCAGGAGTCCGCTTCCATAGATGGACCCTATTTCTGCGGTAACTCCATTAGTTTTTTTTCACTCAAGAAACTGAAACCAGAGAGAGAAAGATTGTCTTGCAACAATGCCAATTTGGCTCTCTATTTCATTATTTCCATTTACGATATGATTTTTCTTTTGGCTAAACAAAGAAAAACAAATTTCCTTTCTATTTTTGCTATCATATTTCTTTTCTGGGCATTCAGCCATTTTTCTCTTGTGGGTTCTTTTCGTTATTGTTGGGTTCAGTTTGTTTTAAGTTTATTTTCCTCGTTGTTAGACAATGTGATAGAGTCTGTGGATTACAATTACGAATTTGAGGTAAATTTTATTTATTGGTATTTATATGAGAAATTTTAACCAATACCAAGAAGATTGATACACATAGGATTTGTTTTTGTATAGATATGAATTTTTATTAGGAGATATCTCTGATTTATATTTTTGAGAAGTTAGTACAGCAATGATTGAGAAGCAGGCCTCCTCAGGTGGGGTTATTTCTAGGAAATCTTTATTGTGTTTGTTCTCTTCCATATTGTCCCTGTTCATATTATCTTGGTTCTTCGTGTTGCGTTCAACGGGCCAACCTAACTTCATTGATCATAGTTTGTTGGCGAATCCATTAAATTCTCTAGTTGAAAGTGGTAATTCCTTACCGAGAGAACAGAATAGTGTTGAACCCTCATTTGGAAATCGATCAATCCTTGTGAATGATAATGGAGGAGGAGGAGAAACACTTAGAGAGAAAGTTGATGTGAAAAGTATGGAATATAATATGGTTAATAATGAGAATAGCAAAGAACCCCTTAAGGTTTTCATGTACGATTTGCCACCGGAGTTTCATTTCGAACTCTTAGATTGGAAAGCAGAGGGGGACAGTGTTTGGCCTGATCTTAGAAGAAAAATACCTACATATCCAGGTGGGTTGAACTTACAACACAGTATAGAATATTGGCTTACATTGGATCTTCTTGCTTCGGAGATTCCTAGCATTCCTAGAGCTGGTAGTGCTATAAGAGTGAGAAATTCTAGTGAAGCTGATGTTATATTTGTACCATTCTTTTCTTCATTAAGTTATAATCGATATTCAAAGGTAAATCCACATGAAAAGAAGAGCAAGAACAAATTGTTGCAAGAGAAGCTAGTGAAGTTTGTGACATCTCAAAGGGAATGGAAGAAATCGGGTGGGCGAGACCATATCATCTTGGCTCACCATCCAAATAGCATGTTAAATGCAAGGATGAAGCTATGGCCTGCAATGTTCATACTTGCAGATTTTGGGAGGTACCCTCCTCGTATAGCCAATGTTGACAAAGACATTATTGCACCTTACAAACATGTAATCAAAAGCTATGCCAATGACTTTTCTAACTTCGACAATCGCCCAATTTTGCTATACTTTCAAGGAGCCATATACAGGAAAGATGTACGTGCTCTTCTTCTTTAATATATGTTCTGTTAATTGTTTCTGTTAATATATGTGCTTTTCATCTTTGGGTTTCTCATTGTTAGGGTGGCTTCGTTCGGCAAGAATTGTTTTACCTTCTAAAAGATGAAAAAGATGTGCATTTTAAATTTGGGAGTGTTCAGAAAAATGGAATCAACAGAGCTTCTGAGGGAATGCACCACTCCAAATTTTGCCTGAATATTGCAGGTGATACCCCCTCATCAAACCGTCTCTTCGATGCCATTGCCAGCCATTGTGTTCCGGTGATCGTAAGTGACGACATTGAGCTCCCTTATGAGGATGTTCTTGACTATTCTGAGTTCTGTGTATTTGTTCGAACATCAGATGCTGTCAAAGAAAAGTTCCTCATAAATTTGATAAGGGGTATTGGGAAGGATGAATGGACCCGAATGTGGCGGAAACTGAAAGAAGTGGAACATTTCTTTGATTTTCAGTATCCATCAAAGGAAGGTGATGCAGTTCAAATGATATGGCAGTCTGTGGCCAGAAAGGTCCCTGCCATTAGAATGAAGATACACAAGTCTATGAGATACTCGAGATATATTGTTAACAGCAATGGAGAGTTGGGTAAAATACAGACTCCTAGTAATTTTTGGTGACAAAAATGAAAACAAAGCATTCTGTGTTTCTTGGCAATGACGACCTTGATCTTTACACGGCATATATAGCAAAACGTTTTGCTGCTTAGGAAGGTGAGAGTTCATTATGTACTCACTACAACTACAAGTTTTGGATGTAAAGGAAACAGAAAACATATATAGTTTTGAAGCATTTTTCTTCTATGTATACTAAAGGATATTCAATTATCCATCACAACATATATCTATTTATCCACTAATATCGTCTCCTTTATCTCTTGCTGAGGACAAAATCAATCCTTGAAAAAGGAAAATATATACAAATCAAGAATATATTTAGGGCTGTATATATTTAGGAGGTGTATTCAGAGGCGGATACAAGATTTTATATTAAGGGGCAAACTTTCAACTTCTATATCATAATTTTATTTTATGAACAATAAAACTGTCTATCCAAATTACTAAATGCAATTATGAAAGTTGAAACTATAGAAAAGTAAAAATAACAGAAAGCTAATTTATCAGTCATTTAAATACAAAACAAAGGCCTACCTTATATGTTTTGAAGCCTCATACCATATTATTAATTTCTAGACTTGTGCATACACACCGAGTAAATAACAATAATAGTGCAACTGTGCAAGTCTACAAGAAAACAAATCATACAATATATAATTTAATACCACACAAAAAAGACAAATATGAAGACATATAAACAACAACCAATAAATAAACCATTAATATTTATCAGATAGTTCAAAGCTTTCTTGTATTATTGAGATGTCATAGTATCTTTATAATGTTTATATTCTCCGTAAAAAACTAACAAAACATAAATTGAAGCAAAGAAGATTACATTTATCATATATTCATTCTTACTAGAAGGATTTTAGAACATGAATCAAAATAAAAATACTATTGTCCAATTCTCCTTATGAGGAATTTACCACAATTGTTCTCCGCAAGTCTTCATATTTTGATATCATTGTAAAATCTTCTCGTTGTTAATACTATTGAAGATATCTTTCTCACATATGTGATCAAGCAATCATTCATCTAAGTATCTCCCATTTAATTACGTGATCAATTTTTCACTATCTTCATTGTTGAGAGTATACTCCCAATATTTACTTACGTGATCAATTTTCAAACTATCTTTCATTTGTTGAGAATACTTTCAACTGGTCTTCATATTTTGATATCATTGTAAAATCTTCTCGTTGTTAATACTATTGAAGATATCTTTCTCACATATGTGATCAAGCAATCATTCATCTAAGTATCTCCCATTTAATTACGTGATCAATTTTTCACTATCTTCATTGTTGAGAATACTCTTTCAACTGAAGTAGTAGCAATTGGCAAAACCAAAGCTAATTTCACAAGTAAATAGGATACACAAAATCTTTTTTTGATTCAACCAATTTTTTGGCAAGATCACTAATCCTTTGTAGATTTAAAAATTGATCATCGGATCTCTTACCAATTATATAATTGTCAAGTTGATTGCCAAGAGTAACAATAAGCTCCATTTTAGAAAACTCAGAAGGATAAAATTTAGCAAGCCAAATTAATTTTTGCTTATTAAAAGCTTGGAAAGAGTCACTTTGGATTGAAGCATGCTATACAAAGAAGCAATTCCGCTTTGACCTTGTTGAAGTGATTGTTAAGCTCTTGAAGTTGCATATTAATTACAGTATAGAATAATTCTACTTGATAATGATGCAGATTTTTCATTTGTTGTGCATTACGTATTGACCTTCCTCGAACCGTAAAATTATCATTAATATTGGGAATGGTAATACTATGTTTCTCACAAAATAAAGAAACTTCATCAATTAAAGATTGCCACCCATCATCTCTCATCATTTGCAATCTTTGTTTAGAAACTCTAATCAAAGAAGTTAACAACTCATTCGGAGAAGGGGAAAGAGCATCAAAATAAAATTCGAATCAAAAGGAAGAGAAGATAATTATTTTGGTTGGCAAATTATCCTAATGCTGGCCATAGGTTTGATTTAAAATTGGTTTTAGTTCGTGAAATTTCTAAATAATAATCAAACTAATAGAAATTCAATTATAGTTAATTTTCTATCAGGTTCTAACCATTCTTTGTAATTTTTTTAAAAAAATATGAATCCACATGTTTGATTTAGTTTTAAGTCCATCCAATTCGATTCAGCCGATTTCAATTTTTCAATTCAATTTGTAATTTTAAATTTCCAATTAATTTCAAAATGGAATGACTAAAAACTGGTATAAATTCATAGTTTCAGAGAATGATATATTTGTTAAGATTCTCTAATGCTTCTCTTAATTAGATGTTTCATTGATAAACACAGTCAATAATTTTGAAATGGAGAGAGAAAAAGCCATTTGCATTAGTAATTACTTAATTAATTAGCATCCATAGATAAGTGCACCGACTATCATTTTTACATATTTTACAAATAATTAATAATTGGAAAAAAAGGGCAAAAAAAAGTTGGTTGAACTACTTTTTTAGTCTTAAAGAAAAATTAGTTGTTTCTATATGAAAAGAACGGAGGGAGGAACAACGTATAATCATGGATTATTTTGGAGGAATGAGACATTTGCAAAGTTCACCTAATCACAAAATCTAATTTATATGCTAAATTAATTAAAGTTTAGAATGCACAATAGAAAAATTGATATCTATGATACGATATACTCAGATATAAACATAATCGCATTAGGTGATAACAAAGGCTTATAAGGGAATTATAAATAGTGTTGGAGATAGGATGTGTATAATAATAATAAATTATAATATTACTATAATTTTGTTTTCAAAACTTAACAATTCATTAATAATAAATATAAATTGAGTATATTATATATAATACTTGCAATATCCCTGTGCTTTGTGATACCGTTATTTTTATAGTATTTTTAATGTAGTTCATATTAGGATTTTTAGCATTTTTATTACTTATTTATTTTTATTTCCAGTTTTATTTATGTTTTTGGGCAAAACTTTCTTAAATCATAATCCACTTGATCTTAAGGAAATTTATAGGGTTTTGGCACAGAAAAGAGCAAAATAAAGCAAAACACCCTGGCTCTAGCATGCCCTGCCCGTGCACATCAGCATGCTCGTGCTGGACTCAAGGAAAATCAAGTGGAGACTCAGACTCTAGCATGCCCAGACCGTGCTATCTCGCACGCCCGTGGCTAAAGAGGACATCAACACAAAGGCGTGTTTGCCTAAGCACGCCCGTGATGCATTTCATCCTGGAGACTCAGAGCCTAGCACGCCCTAGCCGTGCTATGGGGTACGCCCATGCCACAGATTCTTCTCTAGACGTGCCGCTAAGCACGGCCTGTGCTAAACCATCCTTAAAACTCAGGTTCTGGCACGCCCCGACCGTGCCGCATAGCACACCCGTGCTACAAATTAAGTGCTGTCTTAAGTCGAGAACGCCAACCAGTCTCTATCACTTGCATGGCCCACCTCAAATACTTTCCTGACGTACAAATCAAGATCTAATTCGATTTAGGCAGATGGAAGAGTCCTAATTAAGAAGAAATCTAAAACCTAAATAGTTTCCTATCTCCAAAAAGATTTCTTACTTAATGAGGATTCTATTTCCTAAAAAGATGGGACAGAGTCCTAATTAAGATAGAAATCTGAAAACCCTAAATAGTTTCCTATTTCCAAAGCAATTAGATTGTGGATATATACTTACAATAGAGGATTCTAATTTGGGGCGCGTGAAACGAAAAAAAGATTTCTTACTTAATGAGGATTCTATTTCCTAAACGAAGTTGGATTTTCTCCCAGGAAGTCTATATAAAGAGAGGAGCCATTCATTGTGGAAAGATCTCCACTTTTGATAGTTTTTGTTCTATTGTTTCTCTCTCTTTCCAAGCTTCAAGCATTCAAGATTTGTGTAAAGATTCAAGGAAGCTGTCCAGAATTAATTATTGACTAGTTTTTATCTCTAAACTCTTAATCTTGTTTTACTTTTCATTATTCACTTTGATTATGGAATCTTTATCAAGTATTATCGAGTTTTATTTAATTACTATGTCGAACTAAGCTCTCATACTAGGGATTTGATGTAGTTTAATTTCTTTTCCATTTTATAATATTAGATTTGTTTTTCTTTGTTCAAAGTATAATTCGGTATTAAACTTAATGCTTCTAGGCAGAGTTTCTCCCCTGGATTGATTTATTTCATTAATCACTATCAGGAGAAGAGTTTTTGATATGAAAAAGGTAATAAATATTTCATTAATTCGACGTCTCATTACAGGAAGAAGAGTTTATTGATATGAAAAAAGGTAATAAATGTACATGAGAATAATTAACTGTGATTGTAGAAACTGGTAACTGATGGTTTTGAACTCATGGGAAGGTTTTCATAAGTATAATGACCTTAGTTTATGAATCACAAAACAGGTAGGAACCAGAAAACATTAATGATTAATTCATGTTTTGATTGCGCTATTAGGAAGAATAGGTTTAGATTAGGGACCCAGCGTTAAAAATAGCTAACAAAACAATCGAGAGAGCGTGTTAAGTGAATTTTAGGAATTGTTGCCCCTTACTTGAACAATTAATGATGATGTTTTGATTAAACGAGACTAACAATTAAAATTGATTAACGGACTAATAAAATAAATTGGATAGAATTAAGTGAAGTCAAAATCCCTAGTAGCTTTTAATCCTTGATTCTTTTAATCAAAAAAATTGCCTTGCTTGATTTCTTCTTATTCTCTTTTATTTACTGAAGTTAGTTCTTAAATATAATTCCCCTTATTGCCGTTTAAATAATATTAGGTTATCATAATTTTGGTACTTAGTATACAGTCCTGTGGATACGATACTCTTCTTATTCTATATTACTTGTTGCGATTTCATATACTTGCGAAAATCACTGTCACTATGCACAGTTTAAAAAAAAAGTAAAGTAAATTAAAATTAAAAGAATATATATATATATATTATTATTTTTATATTTAAACCGTATATATATATATAGATATCTTGAATGAAATTCTTATATTATGTTACAAACTAGTCAAAAATTTTATTATATAAAAGCATCCTATCAGATACTCTACGATTCAGGGTGTTACTATACCGTGTGGTAATTGTGGTACCATTAGTTCAAAAAATTAGTAGAGAGATAAGCATGGGTCACTCGTGTCTTAGCCAATCATGTGGCAACATATTCTGAAATAAAATACAAATTCTAGAGAGATAAAGTAAAGTAAAAAAAAAGAAATAGAGGTATGAAATGAAAG